CACACTTGTCATTTCAGGACATGTCACTGGCACTCAAAAGTGAAAACAAGAAAGAAAATTGTTAGTACTTATGCTAGCTGTTCAACTCCAGAGCCTTTATCTAATTTCCTATAACCAGGGTTTCTATTCCTGGTTTTGATTCAAATGTCTGTCCCTTTATTTTGTATTTATTTATTTATTGATTGGTTGATTGATTTTTTGAGACAGGGTTTCTCTGTGGCTTTGGAGGCTGTCCTGGAACTAGCTCTTGTAGACCAGGCTGGTTTCGAACTCACAGAGATCTGCCTGCCTCTGCCTCCTGAGTGCTGGGATTAAAGGCACACGCCACCTCCCAGCTGTCTGTCCCTTTATACCTCTCAACAGAATCCAAGTTCCAGATCACTGCTCGTTACCAGGAAGGGGGGTGTGATTAAATACATTAATAACCTGCAGGCATGGGTTGATAAGATATTTTCTCACCGAGAAATACTCTAGGGCTGAGGGTGTTGTTTAGTAGTAGAGCACTTAACATGTAGAAGGCACAGTTCAACCCCCAGGAGGGAGGAAAAAGGGAAAAAAAAAAGATACCTTTAATTAGTATGCAAACCAGCAGTTTTTCCAACATTACTTCGCATTACTCCCCAACATGGACCCTGTCTGTGCCTCACTCAGCTAGGCACTCTGCTGTCCTTATGCACCATGCATGAACTGGTCCCAATGTCTGTGCTTGTGTACTGTCCTCTTGAGATGTCCTTTCTCTCACTACCTAATAGATCAAATATCTGTTCTAAAGCCCAGACCACGATTGTCTTCCTTCATGAAGTTTCCCTGAATCTTCCCTACCTTCCATGAGATCCAGTACCATACAACACTAAGACGTCAGCCACAGGGCATTTCTGATTGTGCTAACTTGAAGATCCTTCTCCTTGCCTTTCCGTACTGAACCCAAGAGCCTTGCTTTTTTCTCCTGATGGCAAACATCCAACTCAAACCATTAGGGCTCCAGAGGTGAATGGAAGTTCTTAGGATCTAAGGTCTTTCATATTCATGTTTCTCAGATTCTTAGCAGGGTAATAGTTGCTTGAGCCTCAACAGCTCTGGGGCCTAGGGGACAAGAAATACATTAATAGCAAGGTCTCAGGTGCTGAAGATGTGGCTAGCCTATATTTTGAGTAGCAAGGCTTTGAATTCATTTCCAAACTCCAACAGCAACTCATCAGTGGTCTGGTAGTGAATTTAGTTGTTTATATAAATAATTTCTCAAAATAAACATAAAAATATTGAAGTAAATAGCATGTAGGAGGATAATTTTTTTCTTGCAAATTTCCTTTTTGGGCATGCTTTATTTTCATTTTTTTGAGAGTATTTCTTGGTGTACCCCTGGCTGTCCTGGCAGTCACTCTGTAGGCCATGCTGTTCTTGAACTCACACAGATTCGCCTGCCTCATACCACCTGGCTTGGGTGTGCTTTTAACATATACATAGGTGTGTGTGAACATGCAATGATACATACCATGTGTTATTTCAAAAGTTTTAAAGTCTATTCTTCAAATGACAGAGCATAAATGAGGCATAAACTTAGACCAACAAATTAAAGTAATAAAATCCAAAGGAAAAAGCAACTTCGTGTTTGCAGCACACTGGAGCAATCTTCTAGAGGATTCTACCATGAAAAGGTACTGGGATGAAGGCAGGAGGGGCAGAGTTGAAGACAAACTTTCTGGATCCAGCCAGTGTTCTCTGTGGTTGAGTTTATTTCCTGCATCTCACTGAGAAGCAGCTATGAAAACTATTTACTGTGTGGGTGTTTCCTAATTTGCTACTGTATCATGGGAGAGATAATACCACTGTTTCCTTCAAGGTCAACTGCTAGCTTTGATATTCTTCTAAACCCAGTGCAAATGTTCTGTTCCAGTCTGATTCGTCTGTGCTCTGTTACTGCCACTGACCTTGAGACACACTGTGAAAATGGATAAGCCATAGGGATAAAAGGTGGCTATAACACATTGCTTCTAAAACACTGTTATCAATAGTAGTTTCTTGACCTTCTGGTTTCTTTAGAGAAAGACCAAAAGACTTGAAGTAGGACACTAAGCCTTATTCTAAACTGCACAGCCATATACTAGTAACCAGCAGCTAGGAGAATGTCTGGCATATTAGTGATATATAACTTAGTAAAGCTTGTGGTTTCTTCTCTTTTGAAGAAGTTAAGGGATTGGGGAAAATATACGCTAGAAGATAACATCTCAATATATGAAAATAAGGTTTTTCGCTCTGGATATTGTGACTCATCATCTTGATGTGTGACAACCTTAAGTTCCTGCTGGCAGGGGACCACGAAGTTCCTAAGCTAAAGCAGTTGGAACAACTAGAGCTACTAAAGAAGAGATTCCAGCGAAAGCATGGCTTCTTCTCACAGCATTGCTTGCTCTGTTCCCCATGTTCCTGGGTCCAAGGTGGATGCTCACTAGCTGTTTTCTCTTAGTGTTGCCCACTAGTCGCCTGGTTTCTTACTTCACTTCATGCTAGAAGTATCAGTCTTGCAGAGGTACAGAGAAAAATGACAATGGGGAGCTTTTGTACACAGCAGGCTCTTTGTGAGCTCCCTCACACAATTCTGTGTGAGATCCCTCATGCAATTCTTAAGAGACTGGGGCAAGCTCAGGCCACCTTGTGTGTGCCCCACAGCAAGACCAGAAAAACATGGGGCTGTTCCGTTTGGCCATCGGAACTTAGCTCTTAGATGGAATTCAAAATGCAAAACGTGAAAGGTATTGAGAGATGAGGGCTCTGGGTGGTAAAGGAAACAAAAGCCTGTGATAAAAGAAGAAGTTGAAGTTGATGGACGGGCAGAAAAGGGAACACATCCCAGGTGCTTCCAGCTACGTGTATTGCTCCACCTATGAGAGGATTCTGCTGAAGAAAGAGGCACTAGAAAATGCAGGTTTCGGAGACTGGAAGATGTATGTAGCAACTTTTTTTCACAATCTCAAGCTTATTCTTTACTGCTCAGGCTGACAGGTTGTGCCACAGCCACATCACGATGGATGCCTGTGCTGTTGACAAAAAGCTGTTCCTTCAGATGCCTTCTTAACTCCACTTATCTCATCATGCTGGCATTGTTGGCAGGACCAGCCATCTCTGCCTCACAGTCACCAACACCTTGGGACTGGAGGTCACTGTAGCTGACAACCACCTCTAGTCCCTAGCTTTCTGTTATCTGCAGTAAATGGAAATGATACAAATTAGAATAAGGAAAGCATACCACAACGAAGAATTTGCTAGGTATAGTTGGGTGAATCTCACCACTTCGTGACAGTACTAGCCTACTGAGTCCTACTGTATTTCACTGGTGTGAACATGAGCAGTTCTCACCTATGATGAACAGCTATTGTTACTCTGTCTTTGGATATAATGGAGCTAAGGTTCAGACTGGTGAAACAATTGCCTAAGGTCTTGCTTCAAGTGAAAGGTATGACCTGGATTGGGACCTAGGCAACAGGACTCCAGGGTCCTGACAGCAGTTACCACCCTGCACTGTCACAAGGATGTGCTGAATGACCAATTGAAGGACCTATCACTAGGAGATAGGTCCAAGGTGCAGAGCCATGGCCTACAATGCTCTTATCCATATAGAATTAGGGAGTGATGGTTGAGGGCCAGAACTGATTGTGAACTCAATTCATGGGCTATTTCTGAGGAGACACAGTTGTGTGGTAAACTGCCTCCTGGAGAAAGAAACAGGGAAACTGAGGCTCAAGGATAACACAAGGGCTTTTTTTTTTCTGTCTTCTCTTAACCACACATATGTATTACCTTTTCTAAGCCACAAAGATCAATTAAAAACGCAGGCCCATGAAAAGATAAATTTGAATCTCCTTGGGACTTTCCCAGCTCCTCGGATATTTGTCAACTTGAAACAGTGTCTGTTTGACTTGACAGACCAATGCTCACTATAAAACACCAGGGTTCTTGGTGCCCAGCTTCATTGTTCCCATGACCATGGACTGTAGGGCAGTTTGGGTTTTCTCCCCATCAAACTGTCCTGCTCTTGGGAAAGTGTGACAGGGGGCAGAAGGAAGAGAAGTGGTCAATGGTCTTACAGTTGTTTTATTTTTACTTCTTTTTCTTTTTCCATTGTCATGTTTGTGTGTATGTATGCGTGCATGCCTGCACGTGTGTGGACACATGTTTATGTTGAGGAGAAACATGTTTATGTTGTGGAGGCTTAGTTGATATTGGGAATCTTTCTCTGTTAGCTCTTCCACATATTTGAAGCAACGTCTCAATCAAACCCAGAGCTTGTGGGTATGGCTAGTCTTGTGAGCAAACTTGCTCTGGAGATCCCCTCTCTATCTTCCCAGGCTATAGGAACAGGCAAACTCTAGGCCTCAGGCTTGTGGGACAAATATTTAACCACTGAGCTGTCTCCTGGGCCTCTACTATGGCTACTTTAGCTTGGTCTCTTTAAACAACAGTATTAGCTTGCCGGGCTCCCTTACAAACTTGGATGCTTTGCCAAAGAATAATCCTCTCCTTCACAGCTTTGAGGGCTAGACACTCAAAACCGAGGCATCTCTGAGGCTGACTCCCTGGGAAGGCTATGAGGAAGAATGAGTTTGAGGTCTCTGGCTCTCTGGCGCCTTCCTTGTCACACAGCATACTCATGTATGGAAATCCCTCCAGCTTTCCCTTTTTACAGGAGGATCCCAACCACACTGGATTGAGCCCACCTACTCGCCTCGTTTTCACTTCTCTCCATATAGGGTCATACTCTTAAGAACTGGAGGTTTGGATGGTGTGAGAATTGTCAGGACATAATCAGCCTATATCACACTGCTATGAGCCACTTCCATCCCTCACACTCATCCAGGGGCTACCTGTCCTCTTGCTGGGACTGAGAGCTTGGCCTCTGGCATCCTTAAGATGGAAACTATTTCTCGTTAATCTTTGAGAGGAGACTCCAGTGAAGGCTCACCCACGGTTCATCCTGAAGGAAAGCGCTGTTCTGTTCTTTGCAGGTGGTATCATGGCAACCTCTCAAGGCATGCGGCTGAGGCTCTTCTCCTCTCCAATGGTCGTGATGGTAGCTACCTGCTAAGGGACAGCAATGAGCAGACTGGACTCTATTCGCTCTCCGTGAGGTAGGTGCTTAAGGACTTGGTATAGTTCATCCCATATGTCACTTTTTCACTTTACAGCACTCACACTGTAAACAACAGAAACTCCCTGGTTCCTAGTGAGTCACCAGATTAAAGGATTACAAACTCTGAATGGTAAGACTGTAAAGAAATCTTCCCAGGGCTGGAGAGGTGGCTCAATGGTTGAGAGCATTGGGCTTTGGAAATGACCCAAGTTAGGTTCCTAGCATCCATGCCAGGTAGTTCACAATGGTCCAAAACACACACACACACACTCTCTCTCTCTCTCTCTTTCTCTCTCTCTCTCTCTCTCTCTCTCTCTCTCACACACACACACACACACACACACACACACACACACACACATTCCTTCCTTGTTCCATTCACTAGCAGGAAAAATATGTCAAAACCAAAAGAGACTTTGGGAATTATTTAATCTTAATCCATCACATGAAGGCCCTGAAACCCAAAGTGGTGGGCTGTTTGGCTTTGCTCAGTGAACAATGGACTGAGTTCCTGGACTGGGCTCCTTTTTGCTTTTCCTTTCTTGCCTGGGAAAGCCAGAATGATTTGTAACCATGAGTTTTCATAGTCATAGACTCAAGAAGACAATGTGCAACTTTAAATTTTTTTTCCTATGGACTCCATTTCCCCAAGTGGTGAGTTCATCTAGCTCCTCCAAGTTGCACCTGGCTTATAGTCTTCAGCCCCTCCCTGGTACCCTGGCAAGCAGAGAGTTTTCTTGTGTTCTTGTAGCTTTGGCTGGACATGCATGCAAAGGTTCTACAAGTTTTCCTGGGCCACTAATAATGGCCATTGTATGACTGTGGTACCATCTCCACAAATCCAGGAACCCTTGAAGGAAATCACAAGTTCCCTTCTCAGTGCAATCCCTCAAGTCAGCCTGAAATACAGATGTCTGTTGCAGTTGGGGTTCCTGTCTGGAACTCAGTATTTCATCATCCCTCCTTGCCTCTTCCGCTTTTCTTTCCTTTCCTTGCTGTGGTAGCACTAGGGTCCCGACTCTCCCAGCTGCCATTTAAGGACCAGTGTCAGCTGAAGATGCCACTTGAGTTCATGCTATGTGGCCTTGCATGGTGTATGCAGCATGGATGTTTGCTGCCTTCCTGGCAGCCAGAACATATTGCTCTGATGTCCTCTTCTGTGGGCAAAAAGAATTCTCTTTCACAGAGCTCATGTGAAGAGGTCAGGCCCACATAGAGATTCTTCCTACTTTAAGATGAACGAATGTAACGATGTAAGATCCACAAAGTCTCTTCACGACTCCATCTAGATCTGGATGACTGGAGCAGGGATATACACTCTATGGGATGAGGTTTGGGCATCTGTGAATGCTGCCTGCTGCACCTTTGATTTCCTAGCAGTGAGTCTACTCGCCTATTTAAAGGGGAGAGGGAGAGACAGATAGAAAATGAGGGACGATTTAGGCAGCCTGGTTGGAGGGGTATATCTACTAATATTTTGATGTCACCCTGGCAAGTTTTATTTGTAAATTTTCTAAATAACAGGACTAAAGGCTATGGTAATAGCTAAGTCTATGCAATAAAGAATAACTGAGTTTGACTCCCATTTAAAAAATTGAGCATGTTAGTATGTGCTTATAATCTAAGAACTAGGGAGGAGGACACAAAAGTATCCCTGGGGCTAACTGGCCACAGCCAGCCTTGCTGTATCCATGAACTCCAGGTTCAGTGAAAGACTTTGCCTCAAAAATTCCAGGTAGAGCGGGAGGTAGGGGCACACGCCTTTAATTCCAGCACTTGGGAGGCAAAGGTAGGTGGATCTCTGTGACCAGCCTGATCTACAGAGTTAGTTCCAGGACTGGCTCCATAGCTACTGAAAATCCTTGTCTTGAAAAACAAAATGAACAGACAAAAAAAATCCATAGAGAAGATGCGTGAGAAATGACACCTGAGGCTAACCCCTGGCTTCCACAAACATGTGCCCACGTGTGCTTATGAGAACACATATGCTTGTGAGAACACATGTGTATATATATACACACAGAAAACAATAAAGCATAGGAATACAAAAAACTACCAATCCAACATGGAATTCTGTTTTAGTGGGGAAAGAGTCTTGCTTTCTCTTATTGATGCTGTATTGCATGGTTCTCCCAAATATCTCAAATAAACACGTAGAATTATTGGATCACAGATGTAATTAGTGTTTTATCTGTGTGTGACTCATCTAATCACAAGCTATTTATGAATAGATTGCATGCATTTCATTTTCCCGAAAAATTAAAATGTAAACCATTGGTTTTCATTACAAATATTTGGTGACACTTGCTGGGGAGGGGCTCAGGGATTACCAGCAGAGGTGACAGAACCCTTAGGCCAGTTGTTTAAAGGTATGATTATTTTTTATTAATTTATTTGTTCATTGCCTCAATAATAGATATTTGAAAGCATGCATTCTGTACCAGCCATCTTAATCCAAAGACCTATAATCCCTAAGTATAATCCCTAAGTATAATCCAAGAAGTATAGACCCATAATCCCTAAATCTTGCTATGAAGTAGAGAGCAGTAGTAGCATGAAAGAAGGCAGGCTAGGTGTTTGGATGATGGAGAAATAAAATGGCACTCAGTGTGAGCCAGAATTACCATGTAATACAGGTGAGAAGGTGGAATTTACAGGAAAACTCAATGGGTAGCCAGAAACTCAGTGGGTAGTGAGGGTTTCTACCAGCAGAGACCAAGGAGAAGGTGACAGGGACATTGGAGTTCAGGAGCAAAGGTGGAAATAACTCCTAGATGGAATAACAGCAGCAGGTTCGGATGGACAGGGATCCTAAAGCAGCCTCCCCTGACAGCAGCATCCACTGACAGCCCTTAGAATCTAAATTCTGATGGAGGGCCCACCTTCTACATGCTGAATCTTTGTCTGGGGGTTTTAACAAACCTTACAGTTGACTCTAATGATTCCAAAGTTGGGATGTGGATGACACATGGGAGGTGAGGCTAGGAAGCTAGAATGGGGACAAATAAAGTGAGGGTGATTTTATGTAATTCTTTTTATATAAAATGATGGGGAATGTACTTCTCTGTATGTTCATCTTATTGATTGTTGAATAAAGTACTGTTTGGCCAATGAGGCAGCAAGTTAGATGGGACTAGGAGTCGAGGAGGATTCTGGGAAATGTAGTAAAAGGAAGTCTTGTGATATAGGCAGGAAGTGACATAGCAGGCAGACTCAGAATATAAGCAAGGACAAGAAGGAAGTCTTTCCTTTTCTCTTGCTCTTCCTCCTGGTCTCTGCTCTGGAATCGCCATGTGATCTGCCGGCAAGAGAGAGCACCAGTGGGAGGTGTCCTCGATAAGATAAGTCTTATAAAATATATAGATTTATGATAATTAAGACTGAGCTAGCATATAAGAAATCCTATTCGATTAGCCAAGCAGCATTTGTACCTAATATAAGTCTCTGTGTGTTACTTGGGACTTTAACATGGAGGTGGGCAGAATTCAGGCAGCCTGGTGTAAAGCTCCCACATGGCAGCAGGACTTGGGCGGCTTGACGGAAAAACTTATTGTAACAATAAAAAATGACAGCCTTAGAAATGTGACACTTTATTCAGTAGACAATCACACAGCTAAGGGAGGAGAAGACAATCACACAGCTAAGGGAGGAGATGACCATCACACAGCTAAGGGAGGAGAAGACTAGGGATATGTAACTCACTGATAGAAGCAGACTTCTGACTGATTCCCAGACAAGGGAGGGCCAAGGACAAATAGGTCATTTCTGTCACCTCTGCCTTCCTGAATTCATGCCATTTATGGACATTAATGTTCAAGAACCTTTTCAGACAGTCCAAGAGAAGGTGGGGGAACTGTCTCTTCTCTCTGGGAGAGTGAAAAGCTGAGTGTGTTTTCTGCCAGAAGAAATGTGTAACTCTCATGGATTTTGATAGGTTTGTGTTCCGCAATCTCAGACTGAAGGCGATGCTCACACATTGCTATATTAGCCTTCAAAAAGAATCATCTTTTGTTAAATAACATTAAACACTTTCTTTTTCTTTCAGAGCCAAAGACTCTGTCAAACACTTTCATGTTGAATACACTGGGTACTCATTTAAATTTGGCTTCAATGAATATTCAACTTTAAAGGATTTTGTCAAGCATTTTGCAAATCAGCCTTTGATCGGAAGTGAGACAGGTAAGCCATTCGTCCAGTTTTTGTTGCTATAAACAACTGCCTGGGATGTGTGATTTATTTAAGAAGAGTATTATAATTCATATCTCTGTGTGAAACTTCCTTGGAATCTGGTGACTTCTGCTGGGGCTAAGAACTTGCATAGTGAGAGCCAGGAGATAAATACATCAAAGACCAAGCCCTCACCACAGCCCAAGCTTGCCTGGAACATGTGATCTTTCTGCCTCGGTCTCACAAGTGCTGGAGGTATAGACATGCACTGCCACACCAGGCTCACGTCAACATCTATACCAAACCCATTCTTGGTATAATCCATTAGCTCACTAATCCATTAACAATATAATAGATTGGTATTTCATGATTGGGATTAAGTCCAAATCACCTCTAAAAGTTTGATCTGGTCCTTCGGTTTAAATGTCATAATAAAAATTAAATCTAACATTAGTATTGAAGAAGACAAATTATATTCAAACCATAGTATAAACTATAGACTTGACCTCTAAAATACTGTTCCAGGAAGAAGAACTGATGGAGATTTCAATAAATTTTATCCTTGTTACTCTTGAGTTTTATGCCTGTGGTGGGAAATTGTTATGTTGAGAAACAATTTTATACTGCTGTGCCATATAGAACATTAAAAAAATATGCATATGAACAGTCTAGAGAGATGGCTCAGCCGTTAAGAGCACTTGCTGTTCTTGTGGAGGACCTGGGTTGGTTCCAAGAACCCACATCAGGCAGCTCACAACTGTCAGTAGCTTCAGTTCCAGGGGATCTAACACTCTCTTCTAGCTTCCTGGACATGGGCATGCATGTGGTACTCATGCAAACAAGGGCACACACATACACATAAACAAAACTAAATACTTCTTTAAATGTAAGTATTATGATTTCAGCACCCTCTCTAGGTGAAAACAAGGGATATTCTACATATATTCTACAAAGTACATAATTCTCAAAACATATCAACAGATTGATGGAATATTAAAAGCTCACATAGGCAGGAAGATCTTCATCAGTTTGAGGCCAGTCTGAACCACGTAGTTAGTTCCAGGCCAGCCAGGGCTACATAGTGAGACCTGATCGAGACTCAATATCTTTAGAATGTTCTATTGTATCACACATACAGTAAAGAAAACACAAGCCAAGAAAGATTTTTTTCCTTATCATTTTAGGCATGAGCACTGGTAGGAAACTGTGCCTGTGACATGAAACTGATATGGTTAGAAACATTCTTTTTGCATGTAGGTGAGACCCAGAGAACTTAATTTGAAGCATTTTCAAAGATAAATTTCATGTGAGATGTCTACAGCGATCAAGTGCTCAATATTGAAAATGTTGCTTAGAAAGCATTTTCTTTTTCCTTTTCTTCTTTTTTTCTTTCCTTTCTTTTTTTTTTTTTTTTTTAAGACAGGTTGACTTTGGAGGCTGTCCTGGAACTAGCTCTTGTAGACCAAGCTGGTCCTGAACTCACAGAGATCCTCCTGCCTCTGCCTCCAGAGTGCTGGGATTAAAGGCATGTGCCACCACCTCCCGGCAGAAAGCATTTTCTCTGAACAATAAGGGCTCATATCTGTCACCTTGGTTCCTTACAAAGTTTTAGGACTGTACTTTTGTATGTATAACTTGGAAGGATTTGAAATTTCCCATTTCAGTAGTTAGACAAACTGGAATAAAAATTTAGAGAGAAAGCCATTTTGTCAGCCAGCATTTAATTGGTGTAACAGATATTAATACCTGAACTATTAATACCTAAATGGACGTGTAAGTAGGAAAGTTTTATTTTGTCTGATGACTTCAGAGGTTTTGGTCCATGATGCTTTATTCCATTGTCATCATGATGGGAACACACAGCAGTGAGAAACACTCAGCTCATGACCTGGAAGCAAATGGCTGAGTCCCATTTACTATCTCCTTCAAGCGCACATGACTTTTTCACACTGGTTTCACCTTTTCGTAAGGCCAAGCAGGGGGCCGCACTTGTAAGCTTTCCGGCAGTCCAGCACACAGTGTGCTAGCCCTTGAATTATCTAATGTGTTGCAAATAAGTAAAAGGTGGCCCACGTCTGAATTTATGGCTTAGAATTCCAGCTTTATTTACTCTAAATGATGAAAAATCTCAGTTTATCAACAGTGAGAAAACTTAGTAATGCAGCCAGTCATCATGAATTTGTTCCTATCAGTTTCTCAGTAAACTCCCGCATGGTCTTCGTGCTCGCCAGTGTTGGGGGAGGGGAAGAGCTGCCGTCACTGGTTTCTGCGTTTGCATTTGTGTCTCTGGGACAGACCCCAGGATGAGTCAGTGTCTAGCACAGATGAAAGACACACAGAAGCCACACAACAGTCGCATCTCTTTGTACTGAAAAGACCAGGTCTGTGGTAGAATATTCTGAACTTGTACCTTAAGCTTTAAATCTCTCTTTCCTGGTGGAAACCTTCTGGGTCAGCCCCGACAAAGATCTCCATCTTTAGCCAGCACTGTTCTCATGAACAAACGCACTCGGGGATATTCATCCTCTGTTATCTGGACCTAAGCAAGCATTTCAGTTTCTCTAATCCCTGCCCTGCAGATTTATTTACTGGTTATGTTTAACCCCACACTGGATTTTATCCAATGCTTGGTTTCTTGAAATGGAGAAGAGTGAAGCCAGGACTACCTCTCCTTTTGTACCCCGCCCTGCGCCCCATATTTGCTGTCAGTGTAGGCGTGTGAGTAAATGATTACGTGAAATAGCAGATATTTATGAGGAACCCTGTAGCCATCAAAACCATTATCATTGTCTGCCCACCTTCTCTTCTCCCCAAGCAAAGTCGGTTTTCAGTTTTGTCATTTAAACTTCTATCTTAGACACTATTAAAATCTCTTTTATGGTTCTCTGTGCTCATTACTGGGCCTTCTCAAAATTAGGGAAAGGTGCACATCCTGCCTTTGGGCAGACTTCAAGGCAGGCTATGACAAAAGTGAGTGTAGTGTATTTTGAATGACTTTCCCACCACAGTGCGGTCACCTTCACGCGGCATTTGGAGCAATGTGCCACCTCCCTATAAATACACTCTCCTGACTAAAGAACTCTCATGGCTGAGTGTAGTAACACTTGCAATTCTAGCCCTTGAGAGGCTAAGACAAGAGGATTACAAGTTCAAGGTGAGCCTGGGCTACGAAGCAAGGTAGAGGGCAGCCTGGACTGGATAACAAGACCCTGGCTTTAAAGGGGGAGGGGTGACTAATGTGCCAGGATTTACAATTAGAGTTTATAGAGTGGTTCTCCAAAGTTAAAACTTTCTGTGCATTATTGCCACGGCTCCTGTTTCACTTATTCTAGGAAACTAAGGTTGTTATCCTGTCCACTGGCTGTCCTCTTTCCTATCCATTATCTGGCAAACAATTTGCTGCTTCGGGGCTTGATTCAGCTGATGGATGTGGACATTGGGTTAGAATACATCATTACCCTTGCTTATCTGTCCCCACCAGATGAAGGCAAAGCCACTAAGGCTTGTACAAGGGACAAAACCCATGACACTCGAGTGTTCTAATCTGCCCTCTGTGGGAGTAATAGGCTTCCGGAGAACAAGATAGCATGCTGAAGTCACGATGACTGTTAAGCCTAGAAGCGCTGCAAAAGTCACAGAGTCACCGCTGTAACCACGAGGAATAGTGAATGGAAAACAGGATGCCGCCTTCTAAAAATAGTCCCTTTCTTCTGGTTCACTTACGCATTAGCTCCTGGTGGGCACGCCTGTACTCCCAAGTTCAAAGTCTGCCCGGGCTTCATGGCAAGGCCCACCCTGGAAATCTGAAACAGAAGAGCACCTGTTGCTACCTCTGAGTGATCAGGAATCTCCAGGATCACTTTGCTGTGCTTTGGAAAAGGGCACAGAAAAACTACTTGTTCACCCATTGAACAAGGCCCTTCCAGAACTCTGTTCTCTTGAACTTCCAAAACCAGACCTAAAATTCACTATTTTAGGTCATTCCTGTTCTTTAGTCCCAGGATCAGCTTTGCCCTGCCTTGCCTAAGAGCATGCATTTATAAAGAGGCTCTGCTTGGCGTGGTGGCACAGGCCTGTAATTTCACTGAGGCAGGAGAATCACAAGTTCAAGGCCAGACTAGGAAATTTAGCAAGATACTATCTCAAATTTAAAAAATAATACTAAAGTAAGAAGGGGCCGGGTGGCTGGGTCTATACTTTGGACGTCCAGTGCTTGCCTGACATGCACAGTGCCCTAGGGGAAGGTGACACTGGTGGGAATGCTACTGCCTCTGCGGGCAACAGGATCCCATGTGTGCTCTACAGCTTCAGTAGCATGACACCAGGGATGCTTGGTTGCAGGTCACAGAAAACCTTTGTCTTAAAGGCAGGTGATTATGTTGGTCCAAAGGGACACAATGTAAGTGCCTATTTTCCCCTCTATTCCTGAAACACTCGGGATTTGTGCTTTTTAACCTGAAGAACACAGGCTCCCCATTCACACCTAACTCCCCTGCCAGCTGTGTGAACTCTAGAATTCTAACTCCCTGTGATCTCCGTTAGAGTTTATATTCATTCAAAGGTCTTTGTGTTAACATCCACAAAAACTCTGAAGATGTTTCTAGTCTTCAAAACTTTATCATTTCCTAAGGCCACAACCGAGCTATGCAATGGACTCACTTGCTTTTCCTCTAGCAGATTTGATAGTTGTACAATTTTTTTTATCTGCTTGTGTTAAACTATCTTATTCTTCATATTAGCACACTCTTGGAGAGGGGACTGTGGTCGGTTTTGTCTCGTAACGTATCCCAGAACTTGAAAGCATAATGCCAATCATTTTTTAGTAGACTTGGGTATTTCAGAAATGGTTTTAGTATAGTTAATTTTTACTAAGTCTTCCTCTAATTAGCTAGGTTTCATGCACTCAGTCATGAAAATGTAGACAGCATTTATATTTATATTGAAGTATCCAAGTGTTAGTAAAACAAAAAATGGCCCTTTTCTCATATTTAAATAACTTCCAGTGAAAGCTG